ACTGTGGTTATGGATGGTATCCTGTTTGGGTATTTAAGTGTATGGATTATATCTGTGCGAATTTGATGCTCTTGTTGTCAAATTAATGTATAGTTATGCTATCAAGAGGATCATATAGTTTAATAGGTTTTTAAAAGCATAAATAACGATGATAATTTATCTTATTATGTTTTATTTCATTAGTAGGGATGGGAATAGTTTGTATGATCCACTTTGTACTCGGATAGGAGTAATGGTGTGCGAAAATGTGGCAACATAGGTTGTTCTTCAGAAATGAGCGCGAAAATGCAAGAAAGCTTAGGATCACTCGAAATTCCAAATTTACACGCAATTATGAGATAATCATGTGGTTTGCCATAAAATGCGTGTGTCTTAGGTGTGGTTTAGATGAAAAAAAAGTCTCCTTTTGGAAATCTTTTTTGACTTGTCCCTACACCTTAGAGACTAGTAGTGTTGAGTCTGAGATATTCGTATGGATAGTGAGTTGCTGAGTATAAGAGGTTATTGACTATTATGAGCTAATAATTTCTTTTTATTAAGATAAAATTGTGGGTATTTATACATATTTATTTTTTATATTGGGTATAGATATGGATATTTGTCATATTATATATTAAAAATTATATCTAAATTTTAACTAATTTTATAATTATTTTGAACGATATATATTAATGATTAAGAGAGGAGATAAAGTCAGCTTTAATATTCTGATTGAAGCTTTTTATTAAATAACCATCAATATGTAAAATTTTAATCATGTATTATATTCATGGGTATATATAATTATACTTTATTTTAGGCCACATAATTTTAAATTTCCGATATAAATATAAAATTAAAATAATATTAAAAATAAAATAATAAAACTTCAAATTATTTATAGAAGTTTAAAAAGCATTGAATCGATGTGAAATGTATTTTAGGGGGGATTTTAATGCGAAATGTAAACATCTAAAGACATTCAGACACAAATTAATTAATTGAGCAACGATACGTACTGGTAATCGTACGCGCAAGGGCTCGCCGGCGTAGGGCAAGTCGACAAAGAGAACGGAAGCTCCGTCCGGCATAAGTCTGACGAGCACGAAATCGGCCGGAAAGACCTCGATAGATCCGCATTGAAAACCCTCTTAGACCTCCTACCGCCGCCTCCGTTAACATCAGGGGAAGGAGCCGGCGATTCGGCGCCATCGTGGAACCTGCAAGTTACCCAGGTGAGATCACTCCCGGTGTCGGTAACTAGCAGAAATGGCTTCGCCGGCGTGCCTAGCCGAACCCTAACGAAGTATTGTCCCGTCCCCGTGTAAGCCCCCGACCAAACCGGCATTTCGATTGCCGGCGATGGCGGAACTGAGCAAACCCTTCGCCGTCTTCCGATCTTATCGGAAATCATCCTCTGCCGCCGTCGATCGTCGTGTATCATCGTTCGAAGGATTTCTAACCGCGAGATCCCCGTTGATTCCGGTCTCCGGTGGAGAGTCAGCCGGATATGAGATCCGGCGGAGAATGCCGGCACCGGCGCCGACGAGAGGATTAGAAAGAAGAAGAGGGGGATGAATCGGTGCATTGGAAGGGAGCGGGAAAAACAGAATCTTAGAAGAAGTCGATTCTCTTCCGCGCTTATAAGAAGAGATCGCTTTCTCTACCTATTTCCTAGCAATCTGGATTAGTTTCACTCTGTATCTGTAGCTTTTCTTGTGTTGAGAGCTTGCAGTTGCTCTCGATCAAAGTGTTTGTGGTGTGGGTTTTAGCTAAGTGTCGTATTTATCTGAAGGCTTGTCGTGGTGGGTAAAAGACGCGCTTTTTTCTTTGTAATTCCATTTCTTTGCACACAGATTTGTTCTAAACTTTTGTTTCAGAATATATAAAAATAAAAATTAAATTTATTAATAAAATAAATATTTATAGTTTCCTCAAAAAAAAAAAGATGAATATGAATATTAATACATATTAGAATTAAAATTTTTTGGTTAATTAAATTCCAGAATCATTCAAAACTTCAATTGAGCGACAAAACTTACAATTGACTAGATAAATCGCACACACTGCAAGGTATACTCAACAAAGTTTGAAGAGCTCAAACCCTTGCTTGAACATAAATAAAATTCATATTCATCTTGAACACCGATTCCAACAAATTTATAGTTGAGAACTAATATGTACGATATCAAGAGTGATCTGATCCAGTCCAAAAAAAACCTAAATTTACTTACATTGGAAGCCATGATCGAAAAAAACTCATAATATTAATTCAATTGGCCGTACTTTGATCGTCTGAATCCGAGATGGACATGTGCCAACTTGGTGTCTTTGCCAAGATGAATAAATAAGCTCAATATCACTTAAAAATTTCTAAAATCCATTAAACGAAACAGTTTTTAAATATTTAAAAATGAATTAAACTTTAATCGAAGGGACATAACCTGTGTCAATAAAGTGTGTTTTGAAAAACTTTAACTAGATTTATCAAAAAATGTCCTATATAATATATATATACTATACTATATATATATATAGTATATAATATAGTATTAACCTGCCTCATTTTTTTCTACATGAAAGATGGAGTGGATAATTAGAGAGAGATCAAAGAATATTTCTAGAGCGCTTTACCATGACCATGGACATCAAAAATCGTGGCGCTTCTCGATCATTTGTTGATGAATATGTGTTGCCAGAAATGTAAAGCAATCGAAAACATCATTGCCCAAATCCCCATCGTTAGAATCATCGCGCAAATCACGACCAAATAATTGCATAGCTAGACCACCACATAGCGAACAATTAATCATTGTCGCCTTGAATAACCCTCACGCAAACAACTCGTTGAATTTGATCTCACCAAACCAATTGCCTATTGTACCACCACAATTGGTCCTTTGGCAAGCGAAACCAACCATCACCGTTGAATGATCACTGGCCAAATAATGTTGTCGAATTGGCACTACTAGTAGACCACCATCATTTGGTCTTTGAAACCACCTAATTGACCATTACTATTTGAACACAACTAACCAACCAACATAATCAAACTATTGATATATGACTACTACCATTAAATTGATGGCATTCGACCACGGTCTTTAAACTATTGTCTCCCAATCAACATTACCAAATCAACACATGATTATAGTTTCTTAAAGAAGACTATATGATTGCTTAATTATCATCTCCTACCATCAGCAATAATGTTGTCACACTCCTTTAACTATAGGGTTACTGCATGCTATCACTACCAACTGAAACATTTCATTGCTTATAAGACTAATGCATCATTGACACAAAGGATGATGTCCACTAACATCATTAACCTTCATCTCCATCAACATTTTAAAACATCAATACTATAATACCTGTTACTATAAAGTCAAGTAATTAATGTAATTTAAAATGAAATTTTGTTTAAACTCCACTTTAAGTACTGATTATAAGTTCTATAATGCATAATTAATCCTAAATGAGCTCATAAATTGAAATGGCAAAAAGAAATTCAAAGTTAAAAAAAATTACACTGGGAGTGTTATGGAGCTGTAGGAGGTAGCATCGTCACTTTAAGCTCCCTGTTGCGAAGGAGATTTGGGGGCCGCTACAGCACTAAGTGGCACTGTTGTGACAGTGGTGCTAGGGAATGGGGTGTCACGACGCTGGACCTAAGATGATATTTTTTAAAATAAAAATCTAAAACTATTTGATTAACCCTCTTACATATCACCTTGCTACAGAAGGAATAGAAAAAAAAGAGAAGGAGAGAAAATGAAGATATATTTCAAGACTCAAGATCAAGTTTTACCCATTATGGTAGTTAAGAATTTCGTAGGACACAAGGTATACTTCTGAACGCCTGTCTCTAATTTTAATTCTAATAAGTCTATAAAATGATAAGATTAAAAAAATGTTATTTTTTCTCAAGTTTCAGTATGATTTTATTGTATGAATTTTAATTTGATGTTGTATGCTTTATTATGAACATCTTAACTATTGAAGTTAAGTTACTACCTATAGGTTTTCCTTACAAAGATTAAAACGTTGTTATGGGTATCCCTCTGAAATTATAATTAAAATGGATAAAGTCTACTGGGGATGTTTTATACGTGCATCATTATAATTACCTATTTAAGTCATAATTTCTTACCATTGAATCCAAATTACATAACTCATGGCATGGAATTAGAGGAGCTTTGAATTCTAAAACGTGATAAGTGCACTCTCTAAAATGATAAAAGGGCTCTATATATTCTATTCCGACGTCATTTGCCATTTGACCACACATACTGAATGAAATTATGGGAGATTATTTTATTTTTGCCTTACTTGTTGAATGTAGGTGTGTGAGGTCAAATGGAGTTTTAAGTGAATGTTCTATTATAAGTAGGCATTAGGATATGTGCATTACACTGATGTATTGCATAATTTTTATAATTTTATAATTTAAGTATAAATGTTATTTTAGACTGGTTCTAGTAAATCTTAATGTTTCATTATGAATTTTGATGAAATGTGAAAGCCAAGTGCAAGTAAGATTCTTCTAACACCTTTGATAATCCTAAAAAAGATTATTTGTTACTTGTGAATTAATTTAGAATTTAAGTACATGTTAGTAAATACTTGTATAAATATGTAATTCCTTTCTTATTAATTAACTATATATTAAAAAAAATTATTGTTTAACATATTTTTTTTAAAAAACGATATTGATATTTGTGATGGGTTAGTGATAGAAGTCTACTGAGATTACTATGCTCATTCTTTAATACTTTTGACCTTCAAGAAAAATGGCCTAGTGAAGCAAGGGAAAGGTTAAAACAGAACGACTGAATTAGAGTAAATAATGTATTCTTTTACAATCTAGTATTGAAGTCTTTTGATGTTTCAAATTTTATAAGTCGTTACAGGAAATCAGGGATTACCGGTTGGTCCTATAGCTACCAAAATTATCGGCTTACTAACCGTCGGTATTAACCAGCGATTTATCTAGTGATTTTTAATAATACACTACCAGAATTCAGTGGCGGTATAATAACCCTCATCAAGGGCTCGAGTTTTCTATTTTACCGCCGCCTTTACCAGTGGCCTAGGACGCCAATTTTAAATGATTTTTTTGGGCGAAAGTAGAAGAGCTGTCACAAGCTACACTATCAGTCTTTAGAAGTCATGGAAAGCCCAGTGGAAAATATGTTAAAGATTTCTCAATGATTTAGAAATAAAAAAATTGACTTTATATGTTTACTGAAATGTGAAGAAGTCCAACCAATCTTAGATAAATTCTCCATAATGCTGCAAAAAGAGTAATGTTTATTTGAAATACTAAAGTATTTATTGGATGATTTTTATTTCTAAAGTATTTTGTAAGCGAATTTGCCTCTATAGATACTACGGATGTTTGAGCAAGTTATTACAAATGAAATTTCTGTTTTGCGTTTAAATCTTGGTGAGCCCATAAATTTTTAAAAATTTTTATTTGAATTACATCTATTTAATTTTCTTAGGTACATAATACTGATAACAAGTGTTTTGATTAAAGGTCAGTAAAGCACTAGCATGGAACCCAATGTGAAAGGTAAAGACCTACCCAATATATATAATGAATTGATTTAGATTTCATTCCAAGTCATGGAGTGAATGAAGAAAAACTGAAAGTTATGGAGTATGTGAAGATGAGTGCTGATTTAGTTATGTTTATGAAACTTGTGTGTGTGAAAGCGAGGACACAGAGGACATGGATTATCTTATTAATGAATTTATAATGTTTTTATGTTTATGTAGAACATATGCATTCTGGTTTATTTAAATATATTGGTTATGCTTATGTGGATTTCATTTGAATATATATTATAATATATATATATACAATATATATATATATATATATAATATATATTGATTTTGAATATAGTTATGGATTGTTTATATTAGTGTGTTGCCCTTATTTGTGATATATATTTTCAATTATGTGTAGATATTATGAAAAATTGTGTAAAAAGAGGGGGTTGTCAATTTTTTTTCAAAATGCTACAGGTTTCCGGCAACCAACTAACAATTTGGCTGCCAGAAACCTCGATACCAAACGGCTTATTATAACCGTTCACAAATACCAACAATTTATCGGTGGTCATCTGTTGTCAACCGACAATTAGGACACCGGCAAAACTAGTTTTAAAGATGGCCGGATAAGCCGCCATTAATTAAACTGGCGGTTCACCGACACTTTGACAACCAAAATTTACCAAATCATTATGCCGCCAAAAAGCCGCTGGTAAGTTTAACCACACAGAAAATGACCGCTTGCAAATCATTTCTACGCGTTTATACTGGCGGTTTACTAACCACCAAAAAAAATTGCTGGTAATTCCTGATTTTTCTATAGTGAGTGTTTTATTGTAAATTTATTTTTGAGTAATCAATTGAAATGTTATTCCAAATTTTATTCTTATTTTGGATTTTATTGTTGCTCTAGTTTATTCTATTTTTGGTTGAGTTAAATTATATGTTTAGGCATTTCCAATCCTTCCTAAGATCCTAGGATAGAATACCAATAAAGAATATGATGCATGTCTTTATATGTATATAATATATATATTTAAATATATATATATATATATATATATATATATATTTATTAATATATATATTATATATATATATATAATATATATATATTATATATATATTATATATATATATAATATATATGTATGCACTTCTTCTATATGAAGTCTAACTCTATAGGTAATTACCAGGATTTATAAAAGATAATATGATGTCTGGTCTACACTCCTCAAGCGAGAATGATTATATATACTGCAAA